CCCCAAAACCCCAAAACCCCAAAACCCCAAAATTTATGCAGAATATTGAACAACAATATGCCTAAATATTTCGTTAAAATTTGGTCTTTCGTGTAACCCTTTCTGTGATTGGAATGTACTTGATGATTTTCTTCCCCCAGCTAGTACTCAGTTTTATCCTTGGACTAAAAAGTTACTCAAAGTGTTTTACCTAGCTTTGACCTTTGAGCCTACACTGTTGCAGGTGGAAAATTTAGAGTAGGAGTTTACACTAGGAACATTCGTCATTCGAATTAGTTCATTTGTTGATGATTGGTTCCGATTCAAACTCCCCTTTGTGTTTTCTGATAATATTGACCCATGGTTCTAGAGATAAGAGTAATCATACTTGAGAATACGGTGAAAACCTTTTTGGTTGAATCAAAGCCTGTAATTTTTCTCTAGCCACCAAGGGGCTTTTCCTTGCTAAAAGATGAGGTATGATTTCTAACATTTAGGTAGGGCTTTTGGAGTATTTAAGCTTTTATTTTGAGATCTGTTATAACGTGCTACATAGTTATGAGGAGGTTCATAAATTTGCCTCCCAAGCTCATTTATTTTATTGCTCATAATATTGATTTTCATATTCATGCATCTACAAAATTACGAACTGTCTTACAAAGGGTTTCTATTATTGCTCTTATGAGACTCAATGCTCCTCCTAATCTTAGCTCTTTTGGTTCTCCATTGTCTCAGCTCCTGCTTGCTTTCACTGAGTAACTTTACTCCACTTCTTAGCTTAGATTGATGAACTAGCTCGATATTTTTAATAGAGGCTTTGCTTTTATATTCTGAATTATTTCTAATCTTATCTTTTTGCACAGATTTATTAGCAATCTCCCTTTCCTTTTGCTATTAGAGATGATTTTTACTAGAATACCTTGACTTTGTCCTCCCAGAACTTGATCTTGGAGGACAGGGAGACCATCTCCCGATGCTTCTGCATCTGAAGGTCCTCTTCCTCTCTGATTTCGGTCTTCAAGTTGAAAATGGTGTACTTAGATTGTTTGATCTGGTCTTTTAAGGCATCGTACCGGTTATCACTAAAAATAAGGGATAGGACAGACTTTGTGGATGTTTCTAAAGAGCTGTAGTAGGACTGATTCGAGGAATAATGATTGTTAAGCTTGTCAAGATCAACTTGGTGTCTTTCAATTTTTCTCCTTTTAGTCTATGATAGTCATATGGTTACTAACTTCTAATTCATCTTCAAGTGCTCAGTCTATTATATTACTGACAAACTTACATTTCTGGTTCTCGAATTTAGAAAGTTTGAGCTTAAGGATATCAACTTGCTCTCTCAGAGCGTTATACTTATTTACTCTCGCCTAGAGATTACATATAGTGTACCGACAGGTGACATCCTAAGGGATTTCTCAACGTTGTAATCATTTTCAGGGTCTGGCTTTGTTAAGGCCTGAATAGTGACTTTTCTAACCCGGTTCTTCCTCTTCGCTTCTAGAAGTCTCAAAATATGGCTTACAATTATTTATGAAATTTTATTTGATTTATAAATTTGCAAGATTAAAAGGTGGGTAGTTTTGCATGCTCTGATCTCAAAAAAGATCATAAACTTTACCAGCAATTAATGCCCGAGAATTATATTACTGATATAACTTCCTAGGCGAGCCCCTATTTCTAAAAACAGCCCAAACGCTCATCCAATTAATTAACAAACCAGCACAACATAACGATTTTCAATATCCAAAAATCCGGCAAAAATCTAAAACCCCAGTTTTGGTTCCCAATTCAACTATCTTCTCGATCCTCCATACCTCTATTACACTTGCGTGCTTCTAAATACTGTTCGATATCATCACAAAGTGTCTCAACCTTCTTCCTAGTTTCAGCCATGTTATAATTTATTTGCAATAAAGTCTACTTAAGAAGGGGTTTTGGGGTTTTGGGGTTTTGGGG